GGCTTCCGGAGAGTGCTTAGTGAGCACTTGCCAATTACATTTATATATATAAGAATATCTATTGTTCTTACACCTCATACCAAAACATACCACCTCATGCTTCAATTGGTTTTTGAAGACTCCCTAATGCAACACGTCACTTAAGAGGAAGCTTAGTAAGCACCAATACCTTTCTAAAAGCTTTTGTGTGTATAGAATAAATATTAAATTAATTGCTATAGTTAAAGTCATACAATGAGAAATAATAATTAAAATAATATTACCAAGCATAATATAGTATTTACAATATTTAACTAAATCAATGTATGCAAAACTTCCCCAAGAAAAACCCCTACCTCAAATCCAAAGCTATCTCCCAGTTGAGCTTTTCCAAAATCTTAACACACTTAGTTTTCACTCTCGAATTTTTAAGAAACTAACACAACTTTGAAGAACCTATGATTCAATAACTATTAGTTAGAACTATATATAGTAGGTTAGAGTCGGTAAAGGAAATATAGATGAAGCTTAACATTATGCCACCTAACTAACCTAGGGATCTCCAGACTACATCCTAGGATTTATAGACTATATGGGTGGCTTGAAGGTAAAACTGCCACCCCATTTAGTCTTAGGTGTTGGCTTCCGGAGAGTGCTTAGTGAGCACTTGCCAATTACATTTATATATATAAGAATATCTATTGTTCTTACACCTCATACCAAAACATACCACCTCATGCTTCAATTGGTTTTTGAAGACTCCCTAATGCAACACGTCACTTAAGAGAAAGCTTAGTAAGCACCAATACCTTTCTAAAAGCTTTTGTGTGTATAGAATAAATATTAAATGAATTGCTATAGTTAAAGTCATACAATGAGATTTGATAGGCTATAGCTAGATTCACATAGCTTACCATACAACTAACTAAAATATATATAGTTTTGAAAACTAATAATTATAAATAATTAATTTTATGAAATATTAATATACATATTTAAAAATATGGGCTTTCACACAAGAGAGAGAAACAAATGAGAGAAGTCGTAGAGTAGATGAAAGAAATATGTTGCAGAGAGAAGAAGATGAACAAGTTGTCATAGCAGTGGCTTTCCTTGATGAAGAGAACCAAAGTCGCCACCATGGTTTACAAGTCGGCCGTCGCCGAAATGTGGATAGACATAAGCAGTCTTGGGGTAAGAATATTTTGGAAGATTATTTTATCTCAACTTCTTTGTACTATAATGTTGATTTTCGAAGGCGATTTAGAATGTAACCCTATTTGTTCAATAAAGTCATGCATGATATTTGCAATTATGATGCATACTTTGTTCAAAAATGTGATGCTGCTGGGGTTTTGGGACTTCTTCCAGAGCAAAAGCTTACAGCTGTTATACAAATGTTGGTGTATGGAGCATCTGCTGATCAGGTAGATGAGATTGCCCGGATGAGGAAGTCTACTACGTTGGAGGCCTTAGTAAGATTTTGTGATGCAGCTGAAACTCTGTACACTAAGGACTACCTACGCAGACCTACTCCCAGGGGCTTCCAACGGCTTCTACAAAAAGCCGAAGCTCGAGGATTTCCAGGAATGATTGGTAGCATCAACTGCATGCACTGGCAATGAAAGAACTGCCCAACTGCTTTGCAAGGTGATTACGGAAATAGAAAATGCCAAAAAAGTATCATCCTTGAAGCCGTTACTGGCTTCCAGGGGCGGAGCTAGAATTGTAAAGTTGGGGGGGCCGAAATAGAAAATATAAGTATATAAAACACTTAAATATTCAATACTTACATGTTTAGAGCTAAATATTTCTAATTAAGTCATA